GCTGGCTTTGAGCTCACTTTGTAGGCCAGGCTGGTCTCGAGCTCGCAAGGATCCTCCTACCTCAGGTTCCCCATGTGTTGAGATTACAGGTGTGCACTACCACGCCTGGCCAGCATTTCTGTCTTGAAGATTTATTATTTCTTTGTTGGGGGGGGTCTTCAAACTCCTCCCTTCTAGTTCTTTTTTTTTTTTTTTTTTTTGGTATTGGGAATCAAACTAAGGACCTTGCACTTGCCAGGCAGGCACTTATACCACTGAGCTATATCCCAGGCCCTCCCTTCTAGTTCTTTATGAAGTGTGTAAAAGTTGTGAACTTCCTACTGTGCTGTAGAGCATTAGAACTTATTCCGCCCATCTAACTGTATTTTGTTTTAATTTATTAATGTATTTTTGTGGTGCTGGGAATGGAACCCAGGGTTTCTACACTGAGCTACATCTCCAGCCCTTTTTTTTTTTTTTTTTTTTTTTCTATTTTGGGACCAAGTCTTGCTAAATTGGCCAATCTCGGCTCTAATCCTCCTGCCTCAGCCTTTCAGAGTGCAGGAATCCGTTTCTTCTTTTTTTCCATCAGTGCAATTGTTACGCCACAGCCGTGCAGTCAGAAAAGCCAGGCAGCCAGCTAGCTCTTGTGCCTGCCCTAGCTTAGTCGAGGTGCTGGTCAGCTGCGTTCTCCTTTGGGACCTGGGGCGGCTTCCAAGCTCACTTCTGCTCTTGGCTGGAGTTGGCATTTCCTTGCTAGCGGCTCAACCAACCAACCAGTGTCATCCGTTTCTGAGACTGGTGGAAACCTGAACAGCGAGCTACTTCCCCGTGCGGGATTTTCTGTCGCCCTTCAGGGCCGTGCCAGCTCCTCTGCTTGTAAAAGCACGCATCCTTCCTCCCTTGAAAGGAGGCCCTGGAAGCCCCTCACTCCTCCCCAGGCCACGGTGCTCTCTCGGAAACTTCAGATCACCTGAGCGATTCCGATCAGGGTGGAGTCTCCCTCACACAGCTGAGCCCGGAGAAAAGAGTCGGAATGCCCGGGAACCCGCTGCAGGACCCAGTGGCCGCGGGGTTGAGGCCCGCGACGCGTTCACCTATCAGGGATGGCTCCAGCTCCCGGGAGTAACCAGGTCCAGGTTCTACCTCAGCAGCTCAGAGTCGCGATGCGCCGGGCGGTCAGCTGAGGGCGCTCCCGGCCCAGTCCTGGGACTGTTGGGGACCCCGGGCAGGCTCGGTCCCGCCCACCGGCAGGCCACGCCCATGGCCCCGCCCGCTCTCGTGGCCCCACCCCGGCCCGCGCACCTCGCGCTGGTGGGAGCACTTGGAGATGCCCAGCTGTAACTCCAGCCTCCGCCCCGGGCCCGTGGGTGACCCAGCGGACTTCACCCGCCACCACACTAGCGGGCTCCCCGCCCACGGGTGGCATGGATTGATCGCCCCACTGCTTCCTTCGGCCAGAGATTTCAGGCCGCTGGGGGCCGCCTGGGCCCGGCCGGGGTGAATTCCGGGCATTCCAGCTGGGCTCGGCTGCCTGGGCAATGGAAAACGCGAGGTGGGGTGGGCCGGGTCCCCTGCCGCGCTGGGGTCCGAAAGTCCGCCGGCCGCGCCCACCCTGGCTCGCCAGGCCCGCTCAGTGTTTTCCCCAACCACCGCGGACCCAGCTCCCTGCGCAGGACTGAGCTCTCTGCCTTGGTCCACCTTGAAAGCCCTGTATGTGTATAAAGATTCCAGTTTCTTATTAGAAATATGTGCAAAAGTAGAATTCCACCCCAGCGTGTTGATGTGTCCGTTCTTAATGTAAAAGCAATTGTTAGCGCTCATTTTCAGGAAAAGGTGAATTTGTGTCTGTTGCAGACACAGAAGTAGTCACACATTGGACGTTTCTGTTCCTCATACTCGGCTCAAGGAGGGTGCTGTGACCCAGTCAAACCCCGAGTCAGACAGTAGCCGTTTTCAGAGGGGAGGAACTGAACTGCAAACAGAAAAACTTTTTTTTTTTTCCACGAGAGAGCCAGGAGTGAGCAGTCTGGGCTGCTAAATCAGAGGTGGGACCGGCTCAGCCCTGACATGGTGCCCTGGAGGAACGCAATAGGTTTCTTCCTTCAGGATGTCTCAACTAATAATCTGGAAATAAAGTTTTTCCTGCAGTGCCAGTACTGAGTTCCCCCAAACCCCCAAATACCAAATTTCCAAATCACTCACTGGACATAACATTTTTCTACTCCCTGGGCTTTGGCACAAAAACAACAAACACATTGACTACTGAGTTGCTTGTAAGGAAACAGGGAGGAGGGTGACAGTCCTGGGGAGATGGCTGGGAGCATGGGTTCCAGTGGAAACCTCCGCAGCTCCCCAGCTGGGGTGCCCCATACTGGCCCAGGAACAGGCCCTCTTTGTTACAGGCAGGATTCCCCCAGTGATCTCTTTTAGTTATGTAAATGTGCCCAGCCCTGGGGAGAACAGAACCGGACATTTTGGGACCTGAAAAATAGAGGCTGCCCTTTCCCAAGGCCTCTTGGAATGGTGGTAGGGGAGGGGAGGAGCCTTTGGCAAATAAAGCCCAGGATCTTAGAGGAGGAAAAGGCTTGACACCACTGCCCACCTGCTGTCCCAAACTGGGCTAGGGGCTGACCAAAATCCATTGTTACCAAAGGCCTGGGAAATTGCTTCAGTGGGCCAGAGCCTGAGCGAGTTTGTGCAGCTGATGGGGAGGCAGTCCCCCTTGGCATCCTGCTGCTCGGAGTTAGGATGGGTGAGCTGGAGGCTGGCAGAGGACACTAGGTGTATGGAGCCCGATCACATGCCTGAGAAGCCACCGGGCTGTGCAGGCCCCGCGTTCAACAGCGCCACGGTGTGGAGGGAGGGGGAACAGCCACGATGCCCAGAAAGTGCAGGGAAGTTCTTGGCTAATTTGGGAGGGGGTGGCCTCCCACCAGCTGACTGGATTTTCTGTTCAAATGTAACCATATTGGTACCCCAGCTAAAGTCATCTTGATTATACCTGGTAAATATCACAGGGCAAACACATAAAATGTGCTCTATACAGTGGCAACTGTTGCCATTATTACTAGTGTTGGGAGCCAGAAGATGATACCCCAAAGCCTGGCACTTTGGCAGGTGGATGCTTTGAACTAAAGGAGGCTGAAAACCCACCTCTCTGCCAGACCCTTCCCTTCCCTGACATACCTCCTACTGTCCTGGAGATTTGTGTTACTAGACCATTTTATCTTTCCCGGGGACCTGGGTCTTTGTTTCTGAAGGCTCCCATGTTACATAAAACACTGATGAAGGAAATCTGTGTGCTTTTCCCTGGTTCAGCCACCTTTTGTTATGGGAGTCTAGACAGTGCCTTTTCTAACGGATCTTCCCCTCTATAAAGAAGTAAGACTGTAAATGCCAGCATCTTCCAGAAAGACCTTTGTCTCCGTTTCTCTAAAGGATCAGCAGTGAACTTCGGAAAGATAGCCCTGGAAAGGCCAGGGCTATCTTTGGGATCAGCCAGGATGGAGGAGGCTGGGGACACGTTCCTAGGGTCACACTCGGAGGCAGACTGGAAAAGGTAGGGGCAGCAGAGTGGGGTGGCAGGAACCCCACCAGAAGCACGCTGAGGGCACAGCCAGCTGAGGGGTGTCTAGAAGGCCCTTGGCAGTTCTCCCAGGTCTAAGCCCCTTCTTTGTGGTGCCATTTTTTTCTAAGGGGAGAGAGGAGCCAGGGACAAGGAGGGAGGCCTTCGGGCCCTGTACCTGCACGTCCTGCTTGGGCCGCCTCCCCTGCTGTGGATGGGGGCTGGGGTTGAGGACATAGTTTCGAGGTTCCTGTCTGATTTGCTGGGCAGCTTTGGTGGCTCCCCAGGGCCTGCAGAAAGCACCCTAATCTCCCTGCTCCACTGCTGCTGCTGGGCTGTGTCTCCACACAGGCTTTTCCTGTCACCACCTGTCCGGCTTTCTTTGCCACAGGCGTTTGTCCACTCAAGACACAGGTGTACTGTAGGCCGGACTGGAGCCTGCCCCTCCTCTGACTCCTGGCCCTTTCTTCTGCTATGCTACCGCTGACCTCTCCTTTCTTCCAGCAGGAGGCAGAGAGCGGCAGAGATGCGCTGGGCAGAGGCTGGGGAAGGCAGCTTTGGAGTGCCTGTGTGAGGAGGGAGGTGGCCGAGTCACAGGTTCCGGGGTGGGCAAAGGCTGCTCCTACCGAGAGGAAGGGTGCAGGCCTCAAAGCCGCTGCCCCAAGTGAGCCCCAGCCCTGCTGCCGGCCGTCTGCCCCCAGGGCCCAGACTCCTTCCCAAGCCCAGAACTGGCCCTACCTGCCTCTTAGCTTCAGGACCCTGCACCCTCGACTCCACCTGGTCCTGGGGTGCAGCCACAAGTCCCCATGGGCGGCGGGCAGTGTCCCATCCATCTCTGCAGTTGTCCCTGAGCTGCTCCCTCCCGGCCCAGCCCAGGCGCTCTGGGAAGGGGGCCCCAGGCCCCGCCCCCCGCAGCAGGACGTGGGGTGTGAGGCTCTGCACTCTCAGGGTTTCTAACAGCTCCTGGGGCAGGCCCCAGTGGTCTCCACAGAGCTCCGCAAAGGGGACCACGGGGGAAGAGGTGCCAGAGGGAGAAGTATCGGCAGCCCTGTCCCTTTTCCTTCCCTGGGGCCTGGACCCAGGCAGCCGCTGGCTTGAACTGCTCCCGGGATCCTCTGCTGCCCTCCCCGCCAGCAAGCAGCCCGGCACAGGGCAGGCACCCAGCTCCCAGCCCGGGACCCTGCTGAGCCCGTGGTTCCCACTGGGGGGCCAATGATCCCACCCTCTGGAAGGCTGGCCGTGCAACCCACACCTGCACCCTAAATGGCCGCGTACCATAGCTCCTAGCGCTCGTGCAGCACCCCACACTTTTACTATCATGCCAGCGCTCCCCCCACCCCTAAGGTCCTTTCCAGGGACCTCGTGCACCCAAGAGCCAAGACCGACCAGGAAGCAGCATCTCAGAGACCCGCAGCGACCTTGCCCCAGACAGGCCCGGATGGAGGCAACAGGGTTTCACACCAGAGAAAAACTGGTCCCGTTTTATTGAGAAAATAGAGACCATCCCTCCACCTTTCCCAGGGACTTCACCCCGAGGTTGGGGTGGCACCCTTGTGCACCCACCACCATGGGCCCCTATCGCATCCTTCGCAGGGGAAGTTGGGGTGCAGGTGGGGAGGGACTGTGCAGGGCAGGGGTGCTTGGTGGGGCTGAGGGGAGTGAGGGAGAGGGAGGACCCCTCCCCCTTCAGGCCCGGAGTCTGCTGCCTCTAAACTCTTCATAAATAAAACTTCACAGTAAGATTAAAGTCCACTTTCAGGACCAAACCGGCCAGTTTCGGGCCAGGGCGCCGGCCTTGGTGGGGACTCGGGGGGCCTGGAGCACTGCTCTTCTGCCCTGTGTCGGGAGTGGGGTGGGAGGAGCTCAGCTGAGGTAGTGAGGGCCGGTCACACGGTCACACTTCCGGAAGTGAGGACGTGAGAGGTGCAGAGGCTGTGGCCGACCCAGTGTGCCCAGGGCTGTCCCGAGTCTGTGGAAGCTCCTCGCCAGCCGAGACCCAGGGGTGGCGGCGGGGGTGGGGGGCACCTGTGAGCCGGCACAGGGCTGAGCTGCTTTGGCCAGGGCCCTGGGGACACTGAGGCATGTCACAGGAGACGTCCCTGTGAAGGCGAGAGGCAGCCACAGAGCCCCTGGGCCAGGTCCAGCCCGGGTACCTGAGCACAGGTTTCTAGCAGAGGCCACCAGGGCCTCCCAGCGGGTCTGAGGAGCCAGGCTGCCAAGCCCGGCTTGGAGGGTCCCTGCTGCTCCTCAGATGCCCCCCCACCCCAGCCTGGGCAGCACCCCATTCCCAAGCCTCGCCACCTGGGATTTATCTGCCTGGGGAGGTTGCCCTGCAGCTCCCTGCACCCCACCACACCCAGGGGCACAGAAGGCCCAAACCCTCCACCTCCCTGGGGACCAGAGGCTCTGTCCAGCACTGTAGCTCCAGCCGCAGGCTGCTGGTTGGTGGCCCCGCATCAGAGCACCTGCAGCTTGCGGGAGCAGGTGAGATTGCCGTGCACCAGCCCCCACATGGCCAGCAGCTCCGCGGGCAGCAGCTTGTGCACCACGAGCATGGAGCGGAAGAAGCAGGGCTCCTTGTTCATGCGGCTGGCACGGTTCCGGGAGATGCCAAAGGTCTTGAAGCCCTCGTGGCCTGTGGGCTGCACACCCAGCACCTCCAGGCACATGCCCAGGAAGACGTCGTCGATGGGGTAGAGCTCCAGGGTGTCACAGGCATGGTGCAGGCGCCGCGCTAGCCCACCGGCCATGAGGAAGCCGCCGCCGCCGGCGTAGGGCGGGTAGCTGGGCTTAGTGTAGAGCACGGGCGGGATGTAGTACTTGTTGTCCTTCCTGCGGATAGGCCGCGCATGCTGCAGGACGTCGCCCACAAACAGGTTTTCCTGGGGCCGCCGGTCAGCCAGGAACTCCAGCAGGTTGGTGGGGTTGACGAAGACGTCGTCGTCACCCTTGAAGATGAAGGGGACGTTGGGGCAGTAGATGTCCAGCCACTTGAGGAAGTGGATCTCCTTGAGGGTCAGGTTGAAGAAGCTGTCGAGAAAGTCCCACTGTAGGATGTCGCCATACAGGCGGTCCTCGTAGGCCAGCAGCTGCTGGTAGTGGGCCCGCTCCTCCTGCTTGGAAGCCGTGCCCAGCAGGAAGAGGGTGCGCACGGCGCCCCGGCCCCTGCCCGCCGACTCCCACTCGTGGCCCCAGGTCCGACGGATGGCCTCACGGCGGTCATGCTGTGTGATGACCGACTTGACCACCACCAGCAGGTAGACGTCACCCCTGCACTTCTCGGGGTGGTTCAGCAGCATGGGGAAGTATCGGCAGTGGCGATAGGTCAGAAACTGCCGGAAGTGTGGCTCCAGGCTCTGGAACCAGGACTGACGGCTCAGGTTAAGGTTGGCCGAGCAGTTCGTGGTGGTCACGTCCCAGACCTGGGGCCCCTGAGAAGCCACTGGGCTGGGGGTCACATCCTTGGGGCTCTTCCAGAAGTTCTCGAAGTTCACCTGGTGTCCACTTGGCTTTTGGGCCTTCGGTGGCCCCAGCGTGACTGGCAGGGACTCCTGCAGAAACTGGTCGGGGGTCAGACTGCGCTGGAAAACCGTCACAGCCACCAGGAGGGCCAGGGCCAGGGCCATGCTCTTGTAGAGGGTCCTCTTCCTGGGGGCACAAAGGGAGAAGATGGTGAGTGGACCCCCAACAGCCCTCCAAAGGGCTCAGTGGCCCCAAGCGGGGCCCATGGGCTCTGTTCCCTGAGAGGTGAGAGCAGGTCCTGTCGCCTCTCCCAGGATGACTTCCTCATTCAGGGAGCACCTGGGATCCAGCACCTGCAGTTCCAGCCTCCTTCTCCAAGCCCCTGCTTCCATGGGGGTGCTGGCCAAAGTGCTAGGCACCCACGGGCATACACTCAGGAAATGCTGTCATCTCACCCAAGGGACCCTGGTGGAGACCTCTGCCCTGTTCCCCGCCCGGTGGCTTTCTCGTCCTGGTACGAACATGTGACTGAGAGGGGCTCCCTCTGGGCAGCCTGAGGGCCCAGGCACTTTGTGGGGCACCCTGGGGAGCGGGCCCTCTCTTGGGAACCTCAGTCGGTCTGCCCCAACTGCAAAGGGCAGCCCTCATGGTTGAGAAGAGCCCTGAAAGTGGGCCGGGGACCCCCGCAGCGCGATCAGTGCCCCTCCCCATACCTTAACACCCAGTTGTAGGGGTGAGGTCCCCAGCTCTGCAGGACACCCCTTGCCGCGGTAACCCCACCACACCCGCTCAGGAAGCAGAAATTCCGGGTCTCTCCTGAAGCGGCCGCCCTTAGGCCGCCTGCTCTTGCTCCCCAAGACCCTCCCGCCTCGGCTCACGCAGGGGGCGGGGAGAGCGGGCCGGGAGCCGGGGAAGGCAGGCTGCCGCCGCCGCACAGACCTCCAAGGCCGAGGTGCAGGGCCAGCCAGGGGGCGAGGGGACGCCTAGGGTGGCTTCAAGGCTGGCGGGCTGCAGGTCCAGCACCCGGCCGAGCCCGCACGGCCGAGCCCCTTCCACGGGGCCCCGAGGTTTCCCGGTTACCGGGTGGGGGGAAGCCAGAGTCGCCCCAGGCGCCGGGTTAGGGGGTGTGACCCGGCGCGGCGCACCCCGGGAGGGGAGTGCAGGCGGCGTTCCCGGGTCCGCAGGCCCCCTGGGCGCCAGGAAGCCCCGCACCCCAGCTCGGAGCGCAGGCTGCGGGGAGGTCGAGCGCCACAGCGCTTCCAAGAGAAAAACCCGGGAGGGCGCAAGGGGTCGCGGGGAGCGCGGAGGGAGCGGGCGCCGCCGGGAG